GTCTTCCTTATTCATTGTCCAGCTCTCACATGCATATGAGGCAATTGAAAATATCACAGCTTGTGTCAGGCGCACCTTAGTCCTCAAGGAGACATCTTTGCTCTTCAGCACTTGAAAGAGGTTCTTTGCAGCCAATCTGCCCACTCCTCGGAAGGAAGACAGAGCAATCTACTTCCGTAGTGATACTGCCTCGGAAACCCAAGGAGGGGTCGCTATGAGTCGAGTCCAACTCAACGGCACATAACAACAACAACATACATTGTCTGATGTCCTGACTGCTGCTTCATTGGTGTTGATTATAGAACCAACCAATGTGAAGTCTTTGCCAATTTCAATCTTTTCTTGAGGATGACTCCACGGCACCTAACAACAACATTGGTACTACTACTAAATTGCCAGCTGACTTGACCGTCTCATCACTGAGAAAAGGGTGTGTTCCTTCCTGTGAATCCTGTGGCCTGGCCTACAGGGAGCACCTGATGAAAAGTCTGTTGAATGAACAAATGAACATTTGGATTCTGTTAGGCCTTACCGTGTATTAAACTAAATTAAAAAGCCACTTCCCTGTGCAGCCTGGCTTTCAGGAGACTTTAAAAGCAAGGGTTTCTTCTGGAAAGGTCCAGAGAGTAAACAGTTCAGGCTTTGGGGGCTATAAGCTCTCAGTTGAACCACTTACCTCTAGGTAAATTAATGGGGCTTGGCTATGTTCCAAAGTAACGTTACTAACGCAAACCCCACTGCCATCCAGCTGAGTCCAACTGAGAGACCCTAAACCCACTGCCATCTAGTTGATTCCTACTCTAGCAACCAGGAAAAAGAGAACCGCGTCCTAAGGTTTAAGGCCATAAATCTTTACAGAAGAAGACTGTCTCATCTTTCTTCCGCAGAGTGTCTGGTGGGTTCCAAAGGCCGTCCTTTTGATTAGCAATTGAATGCTTTAACCACTACGCCACCAGAGCTGCTTAGAAAACTTTATGACACTGAATTTGAATTTCATTATTTTTATGAGTCATGAAATATTTTTTCCCAACCATTTAAAAAACGTGAACACTAATCTTAGCTCATGATTCTTCAAAGCCAAAAAGCTTCTCGCATTTGGTCCGTGGAATGCAGTTTAACCACCTCCAGATTGCCCCGTGCCTTTAGCACTCAAAACAGCATTCTCCCGCGAGGGCGCCATCACTGAGGCGGGCCTCCGATTGGGCCTGGCGTAGTGGGCGGGGCCGAGGGTGGCGTATCGTGTCTTGTCGTGTTTGGAAAGACAAGCTCGAATTGGTCTGCTCCGATGCCTAGGAGCGTGCGGCGTTTTCGAAACTCAGCCAGTCAGCGCGGCGCTGCTGCCTCGCCCCGCCTCACGCCGTAGCTACGGGGAGGAAGTCACGCCCCTTGCGCACCAGGCACGAACTTCCGGACCCAGTCTCGGTGTGACGTCAGGAAGGGCAGGTAAGTGAAGGCTGAGGGGCGGATGGGGGTCGACGGTCAGGCTGTCGCCTTATCCTGGCCTGAGAGCTGCTGGACGCGGACACACTCGTCGGGGGCCAGGGAGCCTTTGTGAGCCGTCCCAGTACCCCGGCTGCGACCCCCAACCCAAGTCCTTTAGGCCGTGGGCCCGACTGTGACCCCTCATACCCGCCCAATTTTTTTCTTGAAAGGCCTCTCGGTTTTCTCATCTGGAAAAGGGAACCAATGAGCTCCTACCTCATAAAGACTTTGTAAGAGGCATGTACGCTGTGTGGGCGATACTAAAACTACCCGTATTTAACGCCTGCTGGACGTCGAACGCTCTTCCGAAGCACCTTAACTCACTGAGTCTTCGTAATAAAAACCCCATTTTACAGATGTGGAAACTGAGGCTTGGAGAGATGGGCAACTGCCCAAAGTCATAAGCTAGGAGGCAGCAGATCAGGGTTCCAGCCCAAGCAGTGAGCCCTGGGGAGATGAGGGCTGTAACTATTCTTGATTACAAGGACCAGGTGGACCAAAACCAAACCAGTTGCCGTCCAGTTGATTCACTCTTGGTGACCTCGTGTGTTAGGATTTTCTTGCCTGTGATCTTTATGGAAAGGAGTCCTGGTGGCGCAGTGATTAAGCACTTGGCTGCTAACCAGAAAGTCTGTGGTTCAAACCCATCAGCTGCTCATTAGAAGATTACAGCCTTGGAAACCCTATGGGGCATTTCTACTCTGTCATACATGGTCACTATGAGTTGGAATCAGCTTGGTGCAAAAATAGATCACTAGGTCTTTCTTCCACAGCTGGGTGGCTTTGAACCTTTACTAGTCTAAACAAGCAAACAACAAAAAAACCAAATGCACTGCCCTCAAGCCGGATCCAACTCATACTGACCCCTCCTTGGGTTTCTGAGGCGGTATCACTACGGAAGTAGATTGCCAACCTTCCTTCCGAGGAGTGACTGGTGGGTTTGAACTGCCAGCCTTCTGGTTAGCATTCAAATGCCTTAGGCATTACACCACCAAAGCTACCTTTAGTAGTCTAGGGCAAACCTTTTACACTACCTAGGGACGTCCAAAGGCCAGAGAGTTCTGTAAATCCACTCTAGACCCATTCCTGTGCCATTTACTGGGATGGTAAATCCACCATGAGATGGCCAGCTTCCCTAAACCAGCTATTGACTTTGTGCAGTTACTTCCTGTGTGTTATTTCATTCACAGCAACCCCAGAAAGTCAGTCTTGTGTTCATCTTCTTCTTTTTACAGGTGAGGAGACATAAGCTCAGACACTGGCCAAGGTCACTCAGCAATGACTAGTGGATGTGGGATTCAGATCCAAGGAGCTACAACTGCAAAGCCTGGACACTTAGCTTTTCTATTGGCAAAGGCATTTTTAGGTTGCCATGGACCACAGAAAAGTCTAGTTCAACAAGCACAGTGGTTCAGAGTGTGCCAGCAGGTTCAGAGTGATGGCAGACCAGTTTACATCCAGGGTTCTGAGCCTGCTCTGCTCCGCAGCAGTGTCAGACCCTTGGTTAGTTACTTAACCTGCCCATGCTCCCGTGTCCTCATTTGTCAACAGCTAATAATAAGAACAAACGAGGGAAAAAAAACAAAACCCACTGCCTTCTAGTCAATTCAACTCGGCAACCCCCAATGGGATTCTAAGGCAGTAAATCTTCACGAAAGTAGATTGCCCTATCTTCTTCCGAGGAGTGGCTGGTAGGTTTGAACCACCAGCCTTCTGGTTAGCAGTCAAATGCCTTAGGCACTGTACCACCAGAGCTCCTTATTAAGAACAATACAGACTAAATGAGGCAGTGATCGATCTTAGCTCAGTGCCTGGCACATGGTGTGTGTCAAAGATCATATAGCTGAGTTGGCATAAGCCAGTAGAGACCAAGCTCCTGCCTCTAGCATGCAGGGACAGCAGACCTGCTGACTTTGTTCAGCCTGCAAGCTAAGAATAGTTTTACATTTTAAATGGTTAAAAAGGGAAGAAGACAACTAGTTTCTGATGTGAAATTCAAACTTAAGTGTCTATAAATAAAAGTTTTATTGGAAGGTAGCCACACTTATCATTCACATATTGTCTCTTGCTACTTTCAAACTACACAGGTAGAAGTGAGTGGTTGGAACAGAGGCCATCTGGCCCTCAAAGCCGGAAATTGTTTATTAATGGCTTTACACAGAGAGTATACTGGTCCCCATTTTGATGGGCATTACACAGCCTCACAAATGTCTTTTTAGCAGTGGAAAGCAGAACTTACTTTGATTCCACCTCACAGTCTCTTCGCCACCACCAGTTTAAGCAGCCGCTGCATTTGCTACCAATGTCACCAGCACTGATCCCTCTGGCCTGTGAATCAGTTGTTCTCCTCAGCATTTCTTAGGGGCAGGCAGTACGCTAGGTGCAGGGGATATAGTGCACTGTGACCTTCTCATAGTGAAACTGTAGATAAGTAACCAGACATAGAGTGATGTGACAGGAACTCCAGGGAAGAAGAACCCTTAGCTCAGGTGGTCAGGTGGGGCCTCTAAAGGAGGTGCTATTTGAACCAAGACCTGTGGCAGAGAGCTAGCTATCCGAACAGACGGCTGGAGGAAGAACATTGGGGACAGAGGAACAGCAGGTGCAGAGACCCTGTAGTTGGCCTGTGAAGACAGCCAGGAAGCCAGTGTGGCTGGAACGGAATAAGCAAAAGCTTATTAGGAACAGTACAGACTAAATGAGGCAGTAATGGATCTTAGCTTGGTGCTTGGCACGTGGTATGCATCAGAGATCATATAGCTGAGTTGGCATAAGCCAGTAGAGACCAAGCTCCTGCCTGCAGCATGCAGGGGCAGCAGACCCTTCTGGGGTGAGCAGTGGACTTGGAGAGAGAGGTCCCAGAGACCCTGGAGAGGATTGAGAGACCAGGGAGGAGGCAACTGCACTGGTCGGGGGCTGGACCGGGGGGCCCTGGGGGGAATGGGATGCATGGGATCTGAGATAAGGTGGACGTAGCGTGAAACAGACACTGTAAACAGATGCTGCTCTTTGTGCCTTCATGCTCATGGAGAGGTACAGTGGGCCTGGCACCACCACCCAGCCCTTGGCACCTTCATGGGGAAGCCCAGGGACCCTCTGCTGAGTCCTGCAGGAGGGCAGGACTAGACAGTCGATGCAGCACAACCCATGTGTCTTGTTGTCTTTTCAGATCGGCCGTGTGGAGAGCAAGGTGCAGTAGGCAGCTCTCAAAATGGTGAGGAGACAGTCTGTGCTCTCTGCGTTTCTCTACCTATCTTTGTCGCCTCCATGGTAGTCCCTTTTCTTCCCACCCTGCCCCACTCCCCAACTCTTCAATCTCTGGCTCATGTCGCCTGGGGCAGAGGTTGCAACCTCCACAGCCCTGCACTGGTATCATCCAGGGAGCTTTATTTCTGGGTTTGTTTTGTTTTGTTGTCTTGTTTGGTATTTTTTTAAAAAAGAACCGAGGTGAAATTCACATAACATAAAATTCACCATTTTAAGGTGAACAAGTCAGTAGCATTTAGGACAGTCACAGTGTAGTGCAACCACCACCTCTGTCATGTCACAAGGATTTTCCTCGGCCTGAAAGGAAACCCCGTACCGAGTAACCAGTCGCTCTCTATCCCACTTTTCCTGCCCCAGGTAACCGCTAATCTGCATCCTGTCTTTGTTCCATGTCAGTGGAATCATGTGAAATGTGTGGCCTTTTGTGTCTGGTTTCTTTCACTGAGCATAATATTTTGGGGGCTCATCTATATCATAGCATGTATCAGCACTTCCTTCCTTTTTATAGCTGACTAATATTCTATGTATGGGTGAACCACAGTGTGTTCACCCACTTACCTGTTGATAACATATGGTCACTGAGTATTGCTGCTGTCAATATACATGGACAAGTGTTTGCTTTGCATGTTTTCCAGGAAGCTTTTTCAAAACCCAGTGTCCAAGCCCCATGCCTTAGACCAGGTTAGGTTCTCTGTCAGGGAAACCGCTGGAGGTGGGTCCCAGGTGTGCATATTTTTAGAAGGTCTTCGGGTTTTGTTGCACAAAGCCATATTTGAGGATCACTGCTTTGGTGGGCATTAAATCATTTTAGTAGCTGGCAACTAGTATGTAAAAAGAGATTCACAGGGTGGTGCTTCATGAAACCTGTGTCTCACTTGTATCATGCATATATTACACAGTTGCAGTGTAAAATGCTTCATTCTGAGTCATGGTCAGAAATGTTTGAAAGCCCCCACTCAAAGAAAGTCCTAATCAGGTAGAATTTTCCACAGCCACACCAACAGGTTGTTCACCCAAGTCCTCAGCCTCAAATCAGACAGCGAGCCCTGGGCCAGCCTTTAGAACAGGACCGCCCTCTCTCATCTGGGGCCCACCACAAGGCTGCCCAGAGAGGTGTACTGTGGGTCCTCTCTGAGTCACCTCTGTCTTCTGCTTTCCAGGGTGAAAGGAAAGGTGTGAACAAGTACTACCCTCCGGATTTCAATCCTGAAAAGGTAAGGGTTCCTTTCCCCAGGTCTGTGATAGAAGAAACCCACAGGGCATTCTACAGGAGAATTGGGTGCCCACTATCTGCCCAGAGCCACAGGACCTTAGTTCCATAAAACAGAAAGTCACTGTATCAGCCAGCTATAGCTGTGTAACAAAACAATGAACTGAGACCTGTGACAGAGAGCTGGCTATCTGAATAGACGGCATGTATAGGGAAGAAACCACCCAGCATGTGGTCCCCTCCTGGGTGAGGCAATGGGATTGGAGTTAGAGCCACAGCTGTAGAAGGATGAGTAGCCCCTGAGGTGTCACTGCCTTCCTCTGGGGACATGAGCCTCAGGGCTGTCTCCCCTCCTGGGAAACGACAGTGGCTTTTGTCGATGACCCTTTACTCTATGCCTAGCCAGGGGTTTAGAGCATTTAAAGCAGAGCTCAGAGTGAGGATTAACACCTGGGCTCCAGGGTCAGACCACTGTTCCCTCAATCTGGGGCCTCTTCCTCCCTCCATCGCCAGGTCCGCTCCCTCACCTCCTTCAGATGTCACCTCAAAGAGGCCTTCCCTGATCACCTCACTTTCTGTCCTATCTCCTAGGGCTCCATTTATCTTCACAGCCCTCGTAACTAGCTGACGTTTTTTCTCATGTAGTTGTGTCACTCTCTGTGTCTATCTCTCTTGTTCCTGGCTGTGTCCCCACGCAGTGAGTGTCCCATCAGCGCACCCTGGCGGCATAGTCCTGGCCACCATACGCATCCTTTCCACACCAGTTTCCCCAGATGTCAAAAGAGGGAAATGCCATGAGCTAGCTCACAGAATCGTTGAGGACTGAAGATGAGACAGTGCACATCAAGCACCCAGTGAACATTTGCCAGTGTTACTGTCTTGCCCCATGCTCCTCACAAACCTGCAATAATGATCATTGTACCCCTTGGACACATAGGGGAGACAGGCTCAGGAAGGTGAAAGGGGAGGGTAAGTCACATGGCTCTTCAGCCATATGATCAGGAAGGGGACGTTCAAACTAAATGTTTCTGATTCCAAGTCCACATGCTGCACCCAGACTTCAGTGCTTCCATGTTACTGTTAAAACCCCGTGCAGGACATAAGAATGAGGCCTCTCTCAACCTGTGAGGCTTAGCCAAATATCCTACCCCCCACCAGCCCAGCAGTGCTAACCTGCTCCCTTGTCCTTTGCGCCCACACAGCATGGCTCTCTCAACCGATACCACAACAGCCACCCCCTTCGGGAGCGGGCTCGGAAGCTGTCACAGGGCATCCTCATCATCAGGTAAGGCCTTGGCATCACCTGAAAACCCCTGCCTTTGTTCCCCCTTGTGTCACCCTCAAGGAGAATCAGTGCTCCTGATTTGCACAGTGCCATGGAAAGGCATCGTGTCAGTCAGCTAGTGCTGGGTAACAAAACAGTCCTGTCCAATCATAGTTGAGCCAACTCCATGTGCATCAGAGCAGAACTGTGCTCCACAGGGCTTTTGATGGCTGATTTTTCAGAGTCAATCAAAAGGCTCCTTTGGTAGACTTCCAAGGCTCCTCTGATAGACTCAAACCCCAGCCTTTCAGTCAGCAGCTGAGGGCATTACACAGGGACTCTATGTCATAAACAGAGTCCGTGGGTGGCCCTCGACTAGCCAGACAGTTGGCAGTGTGAACCCACCCAGAGGCACCTTGGAAGACAGGCCTGCGATCTGCTTCCAAAAGGTCACAGCCTTGAAGACCTTGCAGAGCAGTCCTACTCTGCACACATGGCCACCATGAATTTGAACTGCCTCTGTTGCAACTGACAAGAAGAAAAGAAATATGACTGTAAGCTCCACCTGGTTTACACTGCCCAGCAGCAGCTCCCTACAACCTACTTCTTCCTTTGTTCAGAAGGGAATTTAGCTAGTGATGTGTTAAAGATGGAGCAGCACCAAAAGGGGACTCTCTTCTGGCCTGTCCGCCAGCCGGAGAGTAGCATGACAGGAGGGCTGTCCACTGGGTCAGCCGGCATCATGAAGGCCGTTTGTATAGGACCTCATGTTGTCCTGCAGCTCTACTCTGGAGATACTGCTCTGAAGTTGGCTCCCAGAAACCAGGCCTCAGCCTGGGTCAAGAGAGCGGGTGCTGGGTGAGGAAGACCAGGGGAGCCCAGGTGAACAGATGCAGAAAAGGTGCTTTCTGTTTCTGTAGGTTCGAGATGCCATATAACATCTGGTGTGATGGCTGTAAGAACCACATCGGCATGGGTGAGCCTGTACCTGCCCCACCCAGCTGTTCCACTCTCAGACATCAAGCCCCTCTAGCTGCAAGCACTGTACAAAGACTTTCCCCTCGGGGGCTCCCAGTCAGGATCAGGAGGAGACAGGTGCCCTGGTAACTGTCTGGCTGTGGTTAGGAGGCCAGGCTCTGAACCAGGTGCTGGGTTCAAATCCCAACTCTGCCATCTCCCACTTGGGTTACCCTGCATAGCTCAGTTTACCCATCTGGAAACCCAGATGATATTAAGTGCTGAGTATAGCACCTGGCACACCTGAGGCCAGGTGATGGGAGTTGTGCCCACTGCTATTCTCATGTTCCTCCTCTTACTCTGGGCCCTGATCAGTCCATAGGCACACAGACAAGCTGACAGAATTATGTCCACAGCCCGGCTCTGCCACTTTGAGGCCCAAGGCCGGCGGCCTCCTTTTCCTCTTCTATAGCATGAGGCCTAGGCCAACTCTCCACCCACTGCAAGGGGGACGAGTGAACCCCAAATACCCCCTGGTCAGATCCAGTAGGTGCATCTGTCCTACAGGCCACCAGGTGCTCAGGTGATAAAAAAGGGTTCAACCTGGCGCTGCATACAGGCCACCCTCAGGGACATGCCCTGCAAATGAAAGTGGGGCCCGGCCACACACCCACCGCTGGTCCAGGCTCTGGTTTTCTAGTTTAAATGTTTTCACCCTATAAATAAGGTCAAACAGAATCAAGTGTATCTATTTTCTAACCAACAAATCGGAACAAAACAAAAAATAAGAACATTTTCTTAAAAAGAAAAAAAAAAGCCAACCCTTACTAAACGCTTGCCAAGTGCCAGGCCCTGGTGTGAGTGATCTGGCCGATTAGCTCCCGCAGTCCTCACACAGCCCTGGACGGGGGTGTTATCAGTTCCCACTTCATAGCTGAGGAAGCTGAAGCCCAGAGGGGTGAGCTGGTCAGCCTAAGGCTCTTCAGCCAGTCAGCAGTGGAGCTGGGATTTGAACCTGCCTCTCTGGCTCCAGCACCCTCCTCTGTGGTTCAAGCCCCTCATGAGCCTGGACATAACTGTTTCCCACCTTGGATTTTAGTGCCCCCACCCCCCCCACAGCATTACCTATCTCCTTTCCCCTAAGAGAAAACACCTTGGGCGTGGCCTGAGCCTCTGTTCTCTCCCCCTCCTCCTAGGTGTTCGTTACAATGCAGAAAAGAAAAAAGTTGGCAATTACTACACAACCCCGATCTACAGGTAGGGCACCCGGTGGGCAGCTCAGAGGGACATGGGGCGGGCATGGGGTGAGGGGCTACAAAGGATCAGTGGGAGAGAAGCTTGCATTCCTGTTGTATATTCCCTGTGGGGCTCGCCTGTAAGACATCCTGGTAGGTCAGTCAGTCAAGACATGGACCGCCTCCACTCAGCCCTGCGTGCTGCCAACCTCACTCTAGGAAAAGCCCAAGTCCCAGAAGGCGGCCCACAAGGCCCTGAATGACCTGCCCCATCACCCCTGGCCCTCATCACCCTGCTCACGCAGCTGCACTGACCTTTCTACTCCTCGCACTCCCCAGGGACACTCCCACCTCTCCCCTGCCATCTCTTCCCTCCCTCACCTTCACCTTCTGTTCAAACACCACCTCCCACAGAAGCCTGCCCTGTAGCAGCATCATGCCCCACCTTATGGCTGCTTGGCCCCTTGTTGTTGACATGTCCCACCGGAACATTACCTTTCCAAGAACACTGGAGGCCGCAGTCACTGCTGCATCCTCAGCAGCTGGTACTAAGCCTGCCACAGGGCAGCGTAGCTTGTTGGGGGTTGCTGATTGAACAGACATTGGCCTCATTGGAAGAGGTTAGTCCTGGGTGGTGGGGCTGCCTGCCTCATTCCCATTGTACCCCAGTTACAGAGCCCAGTGCGTAGTAAGTGCTTAGGGAAGGTGTGTTGAAGGACGTGGATGGGCTGAAAGAGGCGTGCAGGGAACCTGGGGGCCAGTGGAGCTGGCCTGCAGCATCCTAACTCCAGCCCTGCGCAGGTTCAGGATGAAATGCCACCTCTGTGTGAACCACATCGAGATGCAGACAGACCCAGCCAACTGCGACTATGTCATCGTGAGCGGCGCCCAGCGCAAGGAGGAGCGCTGGGACATGGAGGACAACGAGCAGGTGCTGACAACAGGTGAGCACTGCCCACCCACCTGCCCGGTGCCCCCAGGGCCAGCCAGCCTGGTGCCCAGAGGCCCAGCTGCGCTCTCGCCATTGCAGAGCATGAGAAAAAGCAGAAGCTGGAGACAGATGCCATGTTCCGCCTGGAGCACGGAGAGGCCGACCGCAGCACACTTAAGAAGGCGCTGCCTACCCTGAGCCACATCCAGGAGGCCCAGAACGCCTGGAAGGACGACTTTGCCCTCAACAGCATGCTGCGGAAAAGGTTCCGGGTGAGCAGGATCTAACTGGGTCAGGTATGGGTGTGTGGGGGCTCCCCAGGTCAGCAACATCCAGACACCCTTGAGAAGGAGCAAACATGGTGGGTTGGGACTCACATCCTAGCCATCACTGTGTCATTCCGTTCCTGAGACTCAGTGTCCCCCCGTCTGTCGTGTGGGTATCACAACCCTTGCTCATAGTGCCTGTGGAGGTGCTGGCCCAGTGTCTCATAATACTGCAGAGCCCCTGGGGGAGGGCCCCTCATTGTCAACAGGTTCTTAGAGAGAAAAGCTGAGCTGGGGCATAGGGAACCTTGAAGGGCAGTAGATCAGCCCTGGCCCCACTGTGGGAGGCAGGAAGAAGCCCATGCCCCTGTCACTGACACCCATTTCATGAGCTCACTTTCCCATCCTGAAATGAATTTCATAAGTAACTCCACCACGTAATTTCCGAAGTCATTCATGGAGTAATGATGGTGATAGACACAAAGGGAAAATCTGTTATGATAGTATGCGATAATCTGGTATAGCACCTAAGGCATTTGACTGCTAACCAGGAAGGTTGGCGGTTCAAATCCACCAGCCACTCTGCAGAAGGAAGACTGGACAATCTACTTCCATAAAGATTTACCACCTCTGAAACCCAAAGGGGGTGGCTATGAGTCAGAATTGACTTGGTGGCAGTGAGTTTGAGTTTGGTACTTAAGGGCTCGGACATGCCACCGGTGTTGCTGGCAGGGACCTTGAGGGCTACTAAGGTTGGGCCAAAAATGCTCTGTGTTGCAATGTCAGAGGAGTTTAGTGTCTGGGTTCGGATGAGGAGGAGCAGGTGTCCACTCTCAGGGATGTTGTTTAGGGCATAGATCCTCCTGCTCTGTGGTGTGTCTGCATCCCTGGGTGGGTACACTGAGGGCAGCAGGAGAGTCCCATGTGCCCCTGGGGGCCTTTTCTGCCCCACTGAAAGCCCTTACTGCCCCACTATGCTGCTTTCCCATCACCTTTACTGATCTCCTGGGGTCACAATTACTAGTAAAATTGCCAGCTTTCTTACTATCACTTAGTCTTGGAATGCCCTCCCCAGCCAGGCCTCTGCCCTGAGCTGTGTGTCCATCCTCCTACGCGAGCTCCTGTCCAGGCCCCTCATCCACCTCTTGCCCTTTCAGGCACCAAGGCGGCTCTATCTGCCTGGGTCCTTGTACCCCAAAGCCTATAGTCAGCCTGGACTTGTTTATAAGTACTCCTTCACACCCTGGTCCCCCCATCTGCCCCTGGATAGGGGCAGATGCCAGGCTCCACCTTCAAATGATAGCTAGAGTCCACCCACTTCACTCCACGGCCCCTACCCAATCACATCCTGTCATCTCCCACATGGACCAGTGTAGGCAGCAGGCCCCTCCTGCCTGGTCTCCTGGCTCCCCACCTCCCTCTCCCCCCAGTATATACACACAGTTTGTTCCCTCTGCAGCCACCAAGGGATACCTGTGAACTTTGCGTCATGGCACATCCTTCTGCTCAGAATCGACCACAGCCCCACCTCACTCAGACGCAGTGGCATCACTGGGGTTGATGTCACCCTGCCCCCCCATGGATCACTGTACCAGACCACGCAAAATATTGAGTAATGTTTTTAAACTAATGTTACCCATAAATCATAATTCTCATTTATCACTGGATATAATGGCAAAAATAGTGACATAAACAACTAGCAAAATGAAAATTGCACCTTTAAATTATAATACCATACACATAGCCACATATATTTTACATTTTGATTTTCTCCTTTTCCTTTAATTACTACTTCATTCTCAAAAAAGTCATTGATACAAGTTCACAAATACTGTCTACCACAATATTATAGCTAATATACCAGAAAATTTGACAAAATTAGTGACTGCAAAAATACTGGCAGCAACAAAACAGTGTGTGCAGATGAAACCATGTGATTCGAAACTTCTTTGTAATTGGGCAATAATCACAGCTCTGACCAGAGGACATTAAAATACTCAAAAAATAGATTAGCATGGTTTTAGCCTTGTTAGGTATATTGACATGTGTAAGCTGGGCTTAGCAAAAGATGTTCTAAGTCCAGGGATGTTTTTGTAAAAAGTAAATTTCTTCTTAAACACTGCACAAAAATTTAATACATTATCATTTTGGTGTCACCCCTCTGGCAGTGTCACCCAGTGCAGTCTGCACCCCCTTAGTGACACCACCGCTAAGAGCAAAAGCCAAAGTTTCCCTGAAGCCCACCAGGCCCTGCACCACCTGCCGAGTCTCCTCCCACTCTCCCCCTCACTCACTCCACTCCAGTCATGCTGGCCTCTTGGCTGCTTCTCAACTGCTCCACACACCCTACCATCTTGGGGCCTTTGCACTTGCTGTTCCTGCCTTACAGTACTTCTGCAGATACCCATGTGGCCCCCTCCCTCCTACAGCTTATGTCTTGTCTGCCTTACCCCCTGGGATGTCAGCTCCCTGAGGGCAAGGGTTTTGTCTACTCACTACTGGGTGTCACTGCTTAGGACAAGGCCTGCCAGCCGGAAGCCTTCTGCTGGTAGTTGTTGAATGAATGTGTGAAGGAGTGAATGGTACACGTCAGTGATTGTGTCTCCCACTTATGAGCAACTGCAGTGTCCCCACACAAGCTGTCAGAGGAGGAAACTGACACTGTGTCTCCGGAGCTGGGGCAGCACTGGAGCCCCTTGCTGTCTCCCCGCCCCCAGGAAAAGAAGAAAGCCATCAAGGAGGAGGAGGAAAGGGACCAGGCGCTGCAGGCCAAGGCGAGCCTGGCCATCCCACTGGTGCCTGAGACAGAGGATGACCGCAGGCTGGCCGCCCTGCTCAAGTTCCACACCCTGGACTGTGCGTGGGGGCCTGCTATGGGGGGTGGGAGCCTGTCCATCGCCTGGTGGAGGCTGGCTCTGGGCCCCTGCCCCTGCTCAAGCGCCTTGTCCCCCCCCCTCCCAGCCTATGAGGACAAGCAGAGACTCAAGCGGACAGAGATCATCAGCCGTTCCTGGTTCCCCTCCGCCCCTGGATCTGGCGTCAGCAATGGCAGCAGCAAAGCTGGCAGCGTCCTGAAGAAGCTGGCCCAGGCCCGCAGGTCTGCCCCCAGCGGCTCCCCCATCACCATGGGGGATCTGGGCATCGTGCGGCGGTCACGGGAAGTTCTGGAGAGCCCCCAAGACGCACCTGACACCAAGTCCAAGGAGCCCCAGGTGCCAAAAGGTCCTACCCAGGATAGGCCCACGTTGCTCCAAGACTGCTCTCAGGAGACAATTGAGACCCCTGAGAGTAGCTGCCAGGACAGACCCCTGTCCCGGCTAGGCTCATCCCAGGAGGCACCTGACACTTCGGACACCCCACACCCCTGTAGCCTCAGTGCCTCCCTCGTGGCGGACTACTCCGATTCAGAGAGTGACTGACTCTGGGACTCTGCCACTTAAGACGCCAGCCTCCCTAGACCCTTCCTTCCCACGACAGTGGAGTTATTTATTTGGTCCCTGTGAGGGTATTTGTGCCTTGTGAGAACCCATATCCGTTATTAAAGCCCCACCGCTATCCCTGCCTCTGGTTACTAGCTGGGCTGGGGCTCCCTGCCTTCCTCTTTACCCAGCAAATGTTGATACTGGGTCCACAGCAGGAGACTGTGACCTGGCCTTTGATCAGGGCAGCCACCCTGGAGGAGGTGACAGGCTGTGTTTAGAGGGTGGAAAGGAGCCTAGGCAGCAGGACCCAGAGAGAGGGCAAGGATGGGGGAGCAGACCTGGGTGCCCAGGATTGGTGCTAGATGAAATTGAGGCATGAGGGAGGGGAGAGTGAGTGGGGGTCACACACAGGACTTGGTAGGCTCTGGCATAATGCCTAAGGCATTTGACTGCTAACTGGAAGTCGGGTGGTTCAAACCCACCATTCACTCCTCAGAAGGCAGATTGGGCAATCTACTTGAGTAGAGATACCACTCGCAAACCCAAGAAAGGGTCGCTATGAATCTAACTGACCTGACGGCAGAGTTTTGAGTTCACTGTCTCAGGCCCAAGGAGGATGCTTTGAAAGGGACCGGTGGAAAGGCCCAGCATTCTGTTGGAGTAAAACTGGTAAAGCCAGCAGAAAATAGCTGCTGCCGTGGCATCCACCAGAGGGCGCCCGTATGCCCCTTCCCCTAAGCCGTGGAGGTCGAAGATCGTTAACTGTTGGTGGAGCCCTTGGTGTGTGCCAGGCCCTGTTCAGTCACAGTGGCTACAGCAGTAACAAATCCTGTTTCTCGGGCCAAAACCAAACTGCCATCCAGTGGATTCCGACCCCTGGCGACCACCATTGGCTTTCCGAGGCAGTAAATCTTTCGGCCTCAGACGGCCCTCTGCCCTCCAGCCTTGGATCCCCACCAGGATGGGAAGGTCTTGCCTGCAGCACGTAAATAATCAGGCACCTTAGAGCCCTCAGTCCATGCGGTGATTGACATGTGGCCGCCTTAACTTGAGTCGTCATTTTCGCGGCCTTCAGCTTGTTAGGATGCAGTGGCAGTATCAAGACGCTTCAACTCCGTCTTGATGACTTTGGACAGTCGGGGAACTTCGGGGTGCCCATCTGTAATTTGGAGGTGATGCCATGACCACCAAACTTAGGTCAGTTAATGCTAAACACAGCTCCTGGTCCCCGATGGGCGCCCTCCTCCCAAGTATGGTACCCCTTTACAACGCCGAGCTAGGCGGCTGACTACAGCTTGGAACACGGTCGGTCACGTGGGCGGTGGGTCTAGCAGCTCTGAAGGGAGTCTTCTTCCGGGAGGAGCCCCGCCCCGCTGCATGTTCTGGTGCGACCGGGCCCCTCCCCACGTGCGTGCCGGGCTTTTTGACCCTACTGAGCAGTGGGCTCCGCGACGGCTGCACCATGAGTCTGGAGGCGATCCGGTACTCGCGGGGCTCGCTGCAGATCCTCGACCAGCTGCTGCTGCCCCAGCAGAGCCGCTACGAGGCAGTGAGCTCGGTGCGCCAGGCCTGGGAAGCCATCCGCGCCATGAAGGTGGGGCTGCGTGGCGGAGCTTGGGGAGAGGGGAGGCGCACATCTGACGGCCCTGACGCTACCGCTCCCGGCCCCTCCAGGTGCGCGGGGCTCCGGCCATCGCCCTCGTAGGCTGCCTCAGCCTCGGCGTGGAGCTGCAGGCGGGCGCCGGGGGTCCCGGGCTCGCCGCTCTCGTGGCCTTCGTGCGTGACTCACTGGGCTTCCTCGTCACCGCCCGGCCCACCGCGGTCAACATGGCCTGCGCCGCCCGCGACCTGGCTAAGGTTGCGGCCCAAGAGGCCGAGCGAGAGGGCGCCACGGAGGAGACGGTCCGGGAGAGGTAGGGGCCGTGTGCGGAGCTCGCTGTGTGCCAAGCAGTGCTCTAAGCGGAAGCTGGTGACTGTTATACGCAGAGGCCCATCCTACAGTTTGAGAAACTGAGGACCCACATTCTTCAGCTGCTTGTCCATGGTCACACAGGCAGGGCTGAAAGCCAACCTCGAGGAGACAGCAGCGTCCCTGCACTCAGCCCCTTGACTGTTGACACTGGATTTGCCCAGCTCTCTAATGCCTTGGAGAGCCTTTTTCAGTTTCTACTGCTCCTCGGGTTTTGCTTTTGAGGAATTGTTTCCTGGCTTGTACCCTTCCCTGCCCTCTTTTTTCCTCCCACTTGTCGGTCCTGGCCGGCCACACAGACCTTCCCATGTTTTTTGACCTCCCAAGCTTTTCCTACCTCACGGCCTTTCTGTTTGTTTCTTAAGGGGCCAGGTCTCTTAGGCTTCTCTGTCTTTGGCTATATAAAATCGCTCAGCCCTTGCAGACCCCTAATTCTGTGGCTTTTACATTGTTTTATCTGCTTATCTGCTCCCTCCACACCACTGTTAGCTCCACGGAGGCAGAGTGTCTTGTTTCTTCTGTGCTCCCAGGGCCTGGCACAAAGGAAGTCCTCAGGGAACGTTTGCTGTAGGAGTGAGTGGGGTGACATTTTGGTGGCTGTGGCCAAAAAGGTCCAGGCCTACAGTGGCAAGAGGCTTGGAGCAGGAGGGCTCCACACAGAGCACAGTTGGGCTCCATGTGCTGAGAGCCCCTTACTGGCCCCAGGGTGATCCGCTACGCTGAGGACATGCTGGAGAAAGACCTCAGGGACAATCGGAGCATCGGGGACCTGGGAGCCCGCCACCTTCTGGAGCGAGCAGCCCCTGAGGGCGGCAAGGTGACCGTGCTGACCCATTGTAACACTGGTGCCCTGGCCACTGCTGGCTACGGCACAGCTCTGGGTGAGTGGACCTGTGCGGGGCAGTGGGGAGGATCTCTGAGGGTCCTCCTTCCCTCTGCCCCTCCAACTCAAACTAGTCAAGCCTTTTTTTTTTTTTTGCTTTTGCTACAAGAAGAACTCCAAGCCAAACTCCTTAACTCACAAAGTGCGTGAATTTATTAGCTCTTGTCACAAATGCTCAGGTAGTTGGCTTCAGGTATGGCTGCGTCCAGGGGCTCAAACAGTAACATCAGGACTCATCTATCCCTGTCCTTCAGTTCTGTCCTCCATGGTGGCTTCATCCTCAGACTCCACAAAGGTTGACAGAGGGTCTCCCAGTGTCTCTACACCAGCAGTGGCAGAAATCTTGTGTCTCAGGAGCTCAGATGGGGTCACCTGCCCATCATGGGTCCATCACATGGGCCCAGACTGAGCCGTATACCTAGAGAGTGGGCGAGGTGTGGGCTCAAGAGGACCAGGGAAAGTGGGTTGTCAGTTACCTGATGCTGCTGTAACAGATACAACACAAGTGTGTGGCTTTAACAAACAAATGTATTTTCTCGGTTTGGGGGGCTAGAAGTCTGGATTCAGGGCCAGCTCTAGGGGTCCCACCTCACCCAGGGCTGTCGGCTCCTGGGGAATGTCCTTGTCTCTTCAGCTCCTAAGCTCCTTGGTGGTCTTCATGTGGTGTGTATCTTTCCCTACCTGTTTACTTAATCTGCTCTTATATGTATCAAAAGGGGTTGATTTAAGACATGCCTACACTGATAGTGTCTCATTAACATAACGAAGAAACTCAATCCCAAAAGGGATTATAACCACAGGATACTAAAACCAAACTCACTAGAGCTCCACCAAACTCAAAAACCAAACTCACTGCCCTGATCTGACTCTCATAGAGACCCTCCTTGGGTTTCCAAGGCGATGTCACTACCGAAGTAGATTGCCTGACCATCCTTCCAAGGAGTGGCTAGTGAGCTTGAACTGCCAGCCTTCTGGTTAGCAGTCAAACGCCTTAGGCACAGTGCCACCAGAGTTAGGATTTGCAACACATACTTTGGGGGCTATACAGTTCAATCCATAGCAGGAGTGGTCCCCCCAAGGAAAGATTAGGTTAGTTGTGACCAGGAGAGGGGGCAGTGGGTTCTGGGAGTACAGGCAGCAGGTTCCCCAGGTTTCTCTACCGTTCTGGTCCCTGGAGATTGAGGCTGTGATGGCAAGACTTTTGCCTTTCATTCATTCACTCAAAAAACATTTATTCAACATCTGCTGTGTGTCAGGCACTGTTCTAGGCTTGGAGACACCACATTGAACAAAGTAGACAAATAACTCTGCCCTAGTGGAACTCCCGGGAAAGTGGGAGCACTAAGATAGATAGATAGATAGATAGATATGGTGTGTTAGAAGGTGGTAAGAGCTAAGGAGGAAAAGCAGAGGAAGGGGATTGGAGGTGTTCAGGAGTTGCTATTTAAGATCAAGACTGGAAAGACTATTCCAAGAAGCAAGCGTGAAGATGATAAGGGAGTCGTGCGGGTGTCTGGGAAGAGGGCTGACACTCTGCCTGCGTGCCTCCGATCCACACCCCTGACCATCAGCCCCCCTGCCAGTCTGTCCTTGTCTGGCTCATCCCAGCCCTCTCTGGTGGGACGGGTCCTGCAGGGGTGATCCGCTCGCTGCACCACCTGGGTCGTCTGGAGCACGCCTACTGCACAGAGACCCGGCCCTACAACCAGGGAGCCCGGCTGACAGCTTTCGAGCTGGTGTACGAGCAGATCCCCGCCACCCTCATCAGTGACAGCATGGCCGCTGCTGCCATGGCCCACAGGGGCGTGTCAGGTCAGTAGGCAGGGCATGGGAGGGCTGGGTCCCGAGCATTCAGGGCCCAGGAGTGACCCCTGACATTTCACCCCCTACTAGCTGTTGTCGTGGGAGCTGACCGTGTGGTTGCCAATGGTGACACAGCCAACAAGGTTGGCACCTACCAGCTGGCCATCACTGCCTTGTACCACAGCATCCCCTTCTACGTGGCTGCCCCCAGCTCCTCATGTGACCTACACCTGGAGACGGGCCAGGAGATTGTCATCGAGGAGCGGCCAGGCCAGGAGCTGACTGATGTCAATGGGGTCAGGATTGCAGCACCTGGTAAGCTGTCTACTCAGAGAGGGTCACCACAGCACCTGAGCACCCCCATCAGGTGCCTCGGCTCACTTCACACAGGGACTAGTGATATTTAGGTCATTGTTGGCCTTCTTTCTAAGGAGCTCTGGTGGCAGAGTGCTTTAGGCATTTGGCTGTTAACCAGAAGGTTGGTGGTTTAAACCCACCAGCCACTCCATGGAAGGAAGACTGGGCAATCTACTTCCATAAAGATTTACAGCCTCAGAAACCCAAAGGGGGTCGCTATCTGAGTCGGAATCAATTTAATGGCAGTGAGTTTTGGTTTTGTTGGCTTTGGGTAGAGGCAGCTCCTTTAAGCCATTTATTCTAATAGGAGAATTACAGAACCAGATTCCAGGATAAGATTCATGATGTTATAACAAGTTATGAGGCCATGAACGCCTTGCTAGTGCTGCACCTCAGTTTTCTCACCTGAAGAAGAACTAAGAACTGGGTAGATGCATGAGGTTTCAGAGCCTTCCTCGTGGGCAGCAGCGGTCTCGGAAAGGCAGGAAGTCTTAACTAGTTGCTACTGGGCTGTGGAAAGCCTGTGCCATCATGCAAGGACACAACAAGCGCTTACGAACAGCAGACTTACCACCCCTCACTGTGCCTTGTCTCCCCTCTCTGCCTGCAGGGATTGGGGTCTGGAATCCTGCCTTCGACGTTACCCCACACAACCTCATCACTGGCGGCATCATCACAGAGCTGGGCGTCTTTGCCCCTGAGGAGCTCCGGGCAGCCCTAGGCACCACCATCTCCTGAGAGGGCACCTGCATGTACCCCAAAAGTAACCAATCTGGCTTTCCCTACCATAAAATAAGTTTATGGAACAGCCAGCCTGGAAGCTGACCTTCCTTTTGCAACCACACTTCTTCCTAGAGCAGGGAGAATGGACTAGGCTGTCCAAGTTCAAATTCCAGCTCAGCCAGTTTTCCCACTGTGATCTTTGGCAGTTCATTTTATCTCTCTGTGTCTTGGTCTCCTCAATTATGAAATGGGGACATATGATGCCACTCCTCGGAAGGAAGGTTGGACAATCTACTTCCGTAGTGATACCGCCTCGGAAACCCAAGGAGGGGTCTCTATGAGTTGGGTCTGACTTAATGACCCATAACATGATACTAGTGCCTTCCTTTCCAGATCGATACTTCAGGTGTAAAAAGTGAGTCCAAAACAATAATCAAGATAAATAATATTTTAATACAGTATTTTTTTTTTCAAATCAAAATTAAATTAAAAAAAAAAAAAAGCAGGATGAAGAAAATACCAAGGTTTTAAATAGAGGATCCCACCCTGCAATTAAATGTCTTGGCTTTAATCATCTCACCCCTAATACCAGCCCTGGTTCCAGTAAATTTATTTACAAAAGTAGGCAACCACCCATGGGCTGCAGTTTGCCGATTTAGTTTTCTAAAAAGTTAAAATATTTTTAAGTGACTAAAATACATTAATTGCTGAGGTTTGGGGCACCCTTGTTGTTTTGCACGAGTGTCTCGCTTGCCTTACCCTGGTCCTACCGTGGACTGAGCTGTCATATATAAAGAACATAGACAGTTAGTTGCCCAGAGACCGGTAAATATTAACTTATTGTTACTACCTTTCATTCAGAATGTTTGCAAAATGCTGGCTATTGTTGGCTACAGGGAACCCTCGTGGAGCAATCGGCAGAAACATGAGGCAGTCTGCATCTATAAAGATTACAACCTTGGAATCCCCATACGGCAGTTGTACTCTGCCCTACCAGGTCGCTATGAGTCAGAATCCACCCTAGTGGCAATGGGATTTTTGTTTTATGGTTGACTACACTGCAGGGAGCTCTGGTGGTGTAGTGCCTAAGGCACTTGACTGCTAACCAGAAGGCTGGCGGTTCAAACCCACCAGCCACTCCTCGGGAGGAAAGTTGGGCAATCTACTGCCGTAGTGATACCCTCTTGGAAACCCAAGGAGGGGGCGCTATGAGTCGGTGGGACTGGGAGGCACATAACACGCTGTGCGTGCTGTCCCTTTAACTCTGTGCCACGCTGTATCCCATGAGCCTGTGCGCCCCTAGCCCCTGTGTATTGCATCCTGCCCTGCTTGTTCTTGCCCCGCCCTTTCCGGCAAACGCGCGACCATGGCTCAGGGGCAGCGCAAATTCCAGGCTCAGAAACCCGCAAAGAGCAAGGCGGCGGCGGCCTCGGAGCGGAGCAAGGGCCCGAGGAAGGGGGGTGAGCACCGGGTCGGCGCCCAAGGAGGGGCGGTGAGGCCGGGATTTGGGGAACGAGGTGGTCCCAGGGCTTCCTGGCTGAACGCGAGCGCGTCTTTTCACAGGCCGTGTCATCGCCCCGAAGAAGGCGCGCGTGGTGCAGCAGCGAAAGCTCAAGAAGGTGAGCGGAGGCGGGCGAGGTCGGGCCCTGCTGTGTGATCCTATCTTTCCTCACCTGTGCATTGGTACAGGGATCGCACGTACTCATCCACGGACCTGGTATAAGCAGGGCCTGGCGCGCAGCTAGTGTTCAAAATACGTTCGGCGCTTCGGGTGTTATTTTCCTCATAGCTAATGGAGCTCTGGTGGCGTAGTGCCTAAGGCATTTGACTGCTGAAGGTTCAGAGAAGGCTGGCGGTTCAAACCCACCAGCCATTCCCCGGAAGGAAGGTTGGGCAATTTACTTTGGTAGTGATACTTCCTCGGAAACCCAAGGAGGGTGTCTTTGAGTCGGATCCGACTCGAGGGCAGTGAGTTTGGGTTTTGTTTTGTTTTCCCGGGATGCCATGCAAAGGCGCTCTAGTGGCGCGTTGGTTAAGGCGTCGGGTTGCTAATAAAAAGGTCAGCGGTTCGAACTCACCAGCCGCTCCTCTCGGGGGAAAAAGGCGAGGTAGTCTGCTTCCGTAATGAGTTACAGCCATAGAAATTGTGGGGCAGTTCTGCTCTGTCCTGTAGGGTCGTTATGGGTCAGAATTGACTCGATGTCAGTGGGTTTAGTTTTGGTTTGGAGTAGAACTCGGGTAGGGAGGTGGCCTGGGGAAAATTGAAATCTTCAGCTCTGTGAAGGCCGAGCTGGGTCCTAATCCCAGCTCCATCGCTCGCCAATGTTTCTTTGCCCTCAGCCTCTTACCTGCTCCTGTGAAGTGGTCGCAGCCCTAGCCCCTTTCTCCTGGAGTGGTAAGGGCTCAGTACCTTGGAACCTATAAAGTGCTTAGGACTGTATGGACTGAGCTGCTAGCTCACCCTACACAATAACGTTTTCATAGTTACTGTCTCTAACTGCATCTTTGTATGTAGGTGAGTGTGTTTGAGCCGGTACGTGAGTTGCAGAGAGGTTTCAGCCATGGTTTTGATGGAGTCAGACCTGGGTTCAAGTTGTGTTCCACATTAATCTTGAGCAAATTGTTTGGTCTCCCCAGAGCCTCTGACTTGGGGTACCCAGCAGCCTGATTGCCTGTGCCGGGGATCACAGGCCTCTCACCCTGAGCATGTCCAAAGCCGGCCTCTGATCCCTGCCCCTAATGTGATACTGCCATGGCCTCACTTCACAGAGTCCATCCTTCAGACACTCTTGGGGCCATCCTTGATTTCACCTCTTTCTCCTACATCCAGACCTGATCCCATCAGTTTGCCTTTAGATAAAATCCAAGGTCCATCACCTACTTTCTCACTCCTCCTGCCTTACATAGCCCTGGCCCCATCAACTCCCACCTGGATCAGTGCTGTGGCCTCGGCTCTGGTCTGCCTCCCACCCTTGTCCTTCCCCACCCCCAGTCTGTTTCCCCATACAGCAGCCAGAGGGCACCTGTGAGAACCTGGGTCAGGTCAGGTCCCTCCTTTGCTCAGAACCTGCTTTGCTAGGGTACAAGCCCAGTCCTCCCTGCAGCCCACAAGGCCCTGGACGCCCCTTCTCAACCTCTGTGCCCTTCCCTCCCCGACTCCCACCCTTGTTGACTCAGTTTCAGCCACACACACGCTGGCTGCTTAGTTGCTGCTTGACTTCCAGGCACGTTCCCACCTCAGAATCTTGGCACTGGTTGTTTTCTCTTTCTGGGTTCTCCTTTCAGACACCCACCTGCTCCCTCCTTTAAACTCAAGTTTGACTTCACACGTCACCCCCCAGAGGCCTTCACTCATGACGGCCCCACCCTCACACCTCACCCCATCCTTTGTTTTTCTGTCTGTAGTAGCTGTCGCTGACTTACTTGTTGCCCTCCCAACATGTCAGCTCCCCAAGGGCAGGGATTTTTCTTAGAGTTGTTTGCTGTTGTGTTCCCAACTCCCAGACACAGAGTTGGCTGCCCTAGGGTGATCGTTTGAACTCCACAGATAGGATAGGGGTCAACTTGGAGAAGGTGATTAAATTAAGTGACCAGTTTTGGCACCAAGCACGCTTGGGTGTAAATCCCCATGCCTTTACTTGCTGCGCCTCTCCACCGGTCAGCCCTGGTTAATCTGTAAAACAGGCATAACACAGGCTGAGGCCAGGGGCTCTGGAGCCAGGCACACTGATTCCAGCTATCCACCACTCATACGGGGCAAGTGCTTTCTCAACACAGGAACCACCAGTTCCCATCTGTAAAGTGGGGACACACATGGGTTTAGAAGCTGAGGTCCAGGGATGAGAAGGGTTTGGAGTAAGGGCCCAGAGCATGTGAGGCAAAAGCAAGACTTAACTTCCCAGCCACCAGATGCCCAGTCCCGAGCTGCTTAGTCCCTGCAAGCTTCCAGCAGGGAGAACGCAACAGGCTAGGCTCTCCCTCTGCCTGAGGTCCCAGTCTGATGCCCCATGATTGTCCCCTCAGGACCTGGAGGTTGGGATCCGGAAGAAGATCGAACATGACGTGATGATGAAAGCTAGCAGCAGTCTACCCAAGAAGCTGGCGCTGCTGAAGGCCGCAGGCAAGAAGAAGGGGACAGCCTCTGCTAAAACGCCCTCCTAGAATCACCACCCAGTGGAGGCTAGCACGCAGCCCTGTGGCTGAGGCTCAGACCTGTGCACATGGCCTCGTGGGCTACACTCTGGGAAGGAAAAACTCTGCTCCCAGGACTGGGCGGCACCTGGACTTTGTTGGCAGCCCGGCCCACAAGCAGGTCCCAGGTGCAGAGGATCAGCTTCCTGGAGGAGCGAGAACCCAGGGATGGCCGGGAGACTGCTCTTGGAAGCTTTTTGTGTCCCCAGTTCTGTCTTTGCTAGTTTAACCCAAAGCAATAAAAATTGGCTTTGTTGTCTGCCCCACTGTGACATGATTCTGTGGAAAGGCCTGTGCTGAGGCTGGGGCCAGCGGCCCTGTCACCCCAGACCAGCACCTGCACTGATGGGAAATGAGCCCCAGCAGTTTCCACAAGCAATTCCCCCTGGCATCAGTGTTAACCACAGCCTACCTCCCAGCCCACATGCCCAGAGAGGGACAACCGAGCTTCCATACCTCCAGCTTGGAAGCTGGGCACTCGGGGAAGTTTTCCTCTGTGGCTCCAAGTGACGTACCTCCTGAGCCACCGGCCTCCTTACCCATCTGCTTGCCCTCCACAGAGCAGGGCACCCCACCAGTCTGCTCAGGGCTTGGGACACTGTCAGGGACAAGCCAGATGTCCTAGGAGCCACTCCTCTAAGGAGACAGTGATTCCGCACCGCTGCTACCATTCGTTAAACATTTATTGTGCACCTACTATATGCCAGCCCTTGGGCTGAATAGAGCTAAGAAGTGACCATCTAGTTGGAACAGCACAAATACACATAGGCTAGCAACGGAAGAAGCTAGGCAGACCAGGATAGCGGGCAGTTTTTAGTCAGTGGCCAGGAAGTCCTCTTGGATGAGTGACATTAGCAGAGATGAGAAGTTACCAGGTGACCTATGCAGATTTCCTAGGATGAGAGCATCCCAAGCATGAGAACAGCAAGTGTAAAGCCTTGAGGTGGGACTCCTGGGTACGACTGAAGGGAGGCTGGTGTGGCTGTATGAGATTAAAAGGAGGAAATGTGCAGGCAGGCTCAGTGTGTGGCACCCAGTAGCATATAGTAGGTGTTCAGTAAATGGCAGGTGCCTACCTTCCCAGCTGACTTCCTCCCTCCTGAGTTAAGCTCTAGTGGGGGTAAGGGCTTGAAGAGAGCGGGGGCAGAGGGCAGGACGCGGGAGCCTCTGGTGGGAATCTGGGCTGCCCAGGGGAGCCTGAAGGATCCTGTCTTCATCCTCTCCAGGGGAAGGGGCTCAGGCAGCCTTCATAGCCAAAGAGCCCCAGCAGCCCCAGAACTGTCCTACTTGATGGACTGAGGGTGGAGGAA